CCGTTTTTGAGATATTTGCAATTTACCGTTTTTGCAAAAAAAAAAAAAATTGGGTCCACTTTATCATATATATCTCAAGAACGAATTAAGCAATTCCAAAACGGTTTGAAGCTTTTAAAAGGTAATAAAATTTTCTATAAGCTGTGCATACATATACTTTTTGCTAGGCCCTGTAGATTCAAAGATAACGAACAATCATTACCGATTTTTTCAATTTTTTTTGTAAAAATATAAAAAAAATCGTACTTTGCGGGAAGGATCTCGAAAACCTTTTATTTTTTTGCAGATTTTTTTCTCCCTAAGCTCTGTTGTATTACAAAAAAAATAAGCTATCATCGAAGAAAATCGATGCAAAACTACGTAAGTTATAAGCGATCAAATAAAAATACCCAGGTTGCGCAACTTCAATGTATGTACCTATACATACATACATATCTGTGTTCGTATGGAAAAGTAGCTTATGTCGAAAGGTTGGCTTTAGTATAATGCGGCAATCCCTTTATTTTTTAAACGGCAAGGAATTTTTTGATGAGACTTAATAAGAATATTGACTTGCTAGTATCGGAACTATTTCTTCCACGTTTATTTGCTAAAAGTTGTTCAACGGCTTACCGCCAGTGAGTCATTCGCAATCGTATGCTGCGAATGCCGATTTATACTAAAGCCAGCCTTTCGACATAAGCTACTTTTCCATATGAACACAGATATATTAAAGGTATAAAGTGCAAGTGAGATATTATCCGGATAAATGAATAACACCATAACAATGATAACACTTTTTCTTTAAATAAATCAAATAGTACTTTTAATACTCGAATTGTATTATAGTAGGTAGAGTGGTTGCATCGAAAGGAAGAGTGGTTGGGTTCGAAACCTGTAAACATGTATTTCCGTCAGTTATGGGTAAGTATGCAGGTAGATTTTCAAAATTATAAGACACAGAAAGTTTCTAAAGCCTACATCTAAAACAGGTAGTATTTTCTTTTCCCGGCTTGTTATAAAAAGGAACCTTTCTGCCTAGGTAAGATTTGATTTTTTCAATTTTATTCTTGTTCCGAGTATAAATATGAGTTAATGCGCTTTGAAACTTCATAACATCTTCAAGGCTCGCCGGAGATAGTTCAGTTCATAAGTCTAATTTCAAAACCGTGATTTATTAAAAAAAATAAAATGAGTAAAAGGACGCGGGAATTTGAGTGTAATAAGGATCCAGATATGTTCTGTTTCATGTGTGGCCAATATACTATCATAAGGCGACGACGAGTGTTCTTAGATCATATCAAAACTTTATGCTCCAAGTATTTTGGAATTGAGCCTAAAAATGCTGAAAAACCATGGACACCGAACACTTTGTGTACATCGTGTCGAGTAGAATTGATTCAGTGGGAATCAGGACAACAAACAAAATTTGATACACCAATGATATGGAGAGAACCTACTTGCCATTCAATAGAGTGTTATATTTGTCAAACAAAAGTACTTGGCGTTGGAAGATCAAGAGGAGTAACCTATGCTAGCGTACCTACAGTGACATTACCAGTACTACATTCAACGGCAGTTGCGGATCCAGTTCCATTGTCAACAGTAACATCTGAGTGCGGGGGATCAAGTTGTACTGAATTTCGCATAGAAAACGAAAGAAACGTTCTGTCACAAGCACAACTTAATGATTGGATAAGAGATTTGGAACTATCCAAGGAAAAGGCCGAGATCCACACTTTTCGTATGCAACAATTTAAATTTGTGTCATCCGATGTTAAGGTGACATATAGTAGAACTCGTCACGAACCATTTTCCAAACACTATACCAAGAAAGACAGTATATGCTACTGCAACGACATCCCTGGTTTATTCAAAGAGTTTGGTCAAACATATGATTCAAAAGAGTGGCGATTGTTCATAGACGGCAATAAACTGAGTTTGAAGGCTGTATTATTGCATATTGGTAACAAAAAGCCTTCTATCCCGATTGCACATGCAGTAAATACAAAGGAAACCTACGAGGAAATGCAAAAAATACTCAAATTTATCAAATATGAAGAGCATGATTGGAAAATATGTTCTGATCTCAAAGTCGTTGCAATGCTATGCGGTCTACAAAGTGGCTACACCAAGCAATGCTGCTTCCTCTGCAAGTGGGATAGCCGAGCTCGTAAGGACCACTACGTCAGAAAGGATTGGCCGGAAAGAGTCGAGTTTACCGTTGGTGTGGATAACATCAAATACACCCCTCTTGTCAAGAAAGAGAAAATCATACTTGCACCCTTACACATCAAGCTCGGTCTCATTAAAAACTTTGTTAAGGCTTTGGACAAAGAAGGCGAAGCATTCGACTATTTGAAAACAGTTTTTCCAGATATTTCTCAAGCCAAGATAAAGGAAGGTATTTTTGTTGGACCACAAATAAGAAAGTTGATCAACAATAATCAATTCAAAGGACTACTCTCATCAGTTGAGGCAGCAGCGTGGGAATCCTTTGAAAAGGTCGTTGCTTCTTTTCTCGGTAGACACAAAAGCCCTAACTACGAGCAGATAGTGAACGACCTAATCAATAATTATGCGAAAATGGGCGTAAATATGTCTTTAAAAATTCACTTTCTCCACTCACATTTGAGCTTTTTTCCGGCAAATCTTGGCGACGAAAGTGATGAACATGGCGAAAGGTTTCATCAGCAAATGAAATTAATTGAGAATCGATATCAAGGATTCTGGGACGTCGCAATGATGGGTGATTACTGCTGGTTTCTCATAAGAGAAACCGATCCTAAACTGAATAAGCGTCAAAGTAGAACACATAATTATTTCGACAACTTAGTAAAATCAAATTAAGATAAAGATTGTTAGAATATAGTATAAACATAAATAAATTTAAAAAAGAAGTTAAAAATATAGATATTTCACTCTTCTTTATACCATACATACGTTTTGAGGTATACGTTGAAATTGCGCAACCTGGGTATTTTTATTTGATCGCTTATAACTTACGTAGTTTTGCATCGATTTTCTTCGATGATACCTTATTTTTTTTGTAATATAACAGAGCTTAGGGAGAAAAAAAAATCTGCAAAAAAATAAAAGGTTTTCGAGATCCTTCCCCGCAAAGTACAATTTTTTTTTTTTTATTTTTACAAAAAAAATTGAAAAAATCGGTAATGGTTGTTCGTTATCTTTGAATCTACAGGGCCTAGCAAAAAGTGTTGTATGCACAGCTTATAGAAAATTTTATTACCTTTTAAAAGCTTCAAACCGTTTTGGAATTGCTTAATTCGTTCTTGAGATTCATATGATTAAGTGGACCCAATTTTTTTTTTTTTGCAAAAACGGTAAATTGCAAATATCTCAAAAACGGTACCATAAAATTAAAAATAACCTTGCTTTTCGGAATCAGGGGGTGATTTTACATACGAATTTCATAACGGCGTCTCTGGTAAATTTTGGCCGTCGACCAGTGTTATCAGAGAGATAAATATTTTGACTTCTTCAAAAAAAAAAATTTCTGATTCTTAAAAGCCGGGACTTGTTCAGAAGCATTTCAGGATTAGTTAGGGATCAGTTCGGGGCAAGGTGGGGACAAGTTCGGGATTAGCTGGGGAGTTCGGGACTGTATACAAAATTTTTTCGCACTATAATTATTATCAAAAGACTTTTATAATATGAGTCTCAAAAAAAGTATTTGAAGACTTAAAAATATTTAACTCACTGATACTTCTATTATATAGTAAGTTTTAAAATAATAGTTATCGATGACTTAAAAAAATTTTCTCACACATAATTATTATCAAAAGACTTTTATAATTCTTACGAAAATTCGAATGACTTTTTTAAAACTCCACCTTGAAATAATTATTATTATGGGTCTCTGATTCAAATCCAACATAAATTTTGGTTGCCATATTAATTATACTTGTAGTGTATGCAGAAAAATTAGGGTTGAATTTTGGGATGGAGGACTGGTAGATACTTGCTTCGAATCTCATGAATTATAATTATTTTAATTTAATTTATAATTTTTTTTATAAACTCACCAGTTTTTTATTTTGTATTGGGTACTTGAGTGGAACAAAATGACTTACCTGAAAATTAGAAAAACAACATTTAAAATAAATTAGTCTCTTACATAAATATTATTTTTAGCTGTTTTGTAATAACAAATTTATAGAAATGCTGCGTGCATAAGGAGTAAACCAACACACATACATACATTGTATGTATTCTTTGAGTTAAATTTTTTCTTGGGAAATTACGAAATATTTTTTAGATTTATTTTTGTGATGCAAATGTTAAAAATAAACAAAGATAATGGTGGTAATGGCAATGGTATTGGTACAGTCAACTGTAATGGTTTGATAATGCTAGTTGTAATGGTAATAGTAATGGGAATAGTAATAGTATTGGTAAAGCTGGTTATGATGATAAAGGTGTTGGTACTGATATTATTATTAGTATCGGTAGAGGTAATACTATTAGTAATTGTAAAGGTAATATTAATTGTAATACTAATGGTAATGGCAATGGTAATCGTAATGGGAAAGGTACTATTGATGGCAATGACAATGGTAAATGTAATGCTAATGCTGACAGTTTTCGAGCTTAGAAATTTTAATGATATTTACAAGTGCGTAAAGAGAGTGAGACTAAATGTAAATCCAGACAGGATGAACTTGGATATCAACTGTGCCTTTTACTTTTCACTGCCCTTCTCCCAAAGCTAAGTCCCTCAGAAAGTTCAACAACGTTTTCGGAGTGTGCTTAAGCAAGCGTATTTATATGCCACAAATGAATGAATAACCGAACTTTTAAGTTTGCTCATAGTTCAGCTTAAATGGTTATTTAGTTGGATTTAAAAATATGAAAAACGCAATAAAATAAAAATTCAAAAATGTTCGCCATGAGGGAACAAATACCTCGCCCATGGTCAAATATCCGTTTAATGGCTGTTTAATGCATCCATATTACTAAGTAATTAATTTATGTACATATTTGCCCTGCCACTTTCGCCCTTAATACTTACCGTTATTATTGCTTATGGCAAATCGTTGCTGCAACTGTTGCGCCAACGCTTGATGATGCTGCGCCAGTGGGGTCAATGGTGGCGGTTGCCCCAGCTGATGTGGCGCCGATTGTGAGTGTGGCACGTTTGACATGGGTGACGCATCGCCGCCGCCGCCACCTCCTTGTCCATTATTACCACAATTTGTGCCACTGGAAACGACTACTCCACCACTAACATTACCAGCGCCGCCATTGTTGGCACTACCACCAATATTCATGGCATTAAATTGTTGCACAGATATTGAAGTGGGTACATTAACCATGCCTCCTACTGTGCCACATTGTTGCTGTTGCTGTTGCTGCTGCTGCTGCTGTTGCAGCTGTTGTTGGCTAATGAGCGCGCCACCAGTGCTGCCAGATGTGGTGGTATTTATGGAATTTTGTAGATTACTGCCATTGGAATTGTTGTTGTTGTTGTTGCTGGCCGACAGTATAGAGCCATTGGCGATATTTGTTGATGTATTGGAATTTGTGTTGTAGTAAGAATCCTCGCCTGCAGAAGGAAAAAATGAACAAAAGTGGAGTGTCATAAGTGGGCTGTATAGACGCATGCACGCTAGCAGCGGGTACATACAATGAAAAGCTCAAAAACTTAAGGTTACTTATACATAGGAATGTATGTATGTATAGCAGTTTGCAAGAAAGTTTTGCACGGAAGAGGAGCTTTGAACTAAAAGCTTTAGCGCTTAGCGCGTCATCTGTTAAGGCCTAGCTGCGCGAAAAGAGCTAAACAGAGCTTTGAGCAGCAATGCAGTTACAAAGTTAGCAGATAATTTTTGTACGTATGCACATTAACTAACTGCCATCTCCATCTAATCTAAATTTGATACTAATAGCAGCGTGTGCAATTTATTTATGTGTATAAAATTCAATAGGTACTTTATACTTTTATGAAATGAATCATGCAATGCAAAATGACAATTTTTCAATTTTATTTTTTTTTTTGTTTTTTCCATATAACACGTGCGCAAAAATAGAATTAAAGACGAATTTAAATTAATGATTTTTTTATTAATGAATATGAGGACGCTAAATTTAATAATCTAATTTTTTTTTAACTTTTATACTTTCACTGTAAATCCAGTTTGAAGTAGAAAATTAGGGTTATGTAATAATTATAGCCGCACCATATTTTGCTAAGTTTTAACATATTATTTTTGTTGTTATTTAATTTTGATTCTTTTTTTTTATAAAAATATAGTTCATTCCTTAACAAAACCCGTGTAAATCCAAGTTTCAAACTTTGTGCAATATTTAAAATAAAAAAATCAACAAACTTTCGTAAAAAATTTTTACTTTTTTAATTAGATTTCCCAGAAGATTCTGCCTATGCAGTTTTGTAGCCCATTGAATTCTAGTAGAACAAAGGACAAGTTTCAAATGGCTAAAGTTTACGGTTGATTTTTTAGAATTTTTTTTTGTCCAATTTGCGAATACACAAAATTTATTTTTATATGGAAGAAGGGGAAACGCACAGAGTTTGAAACTTGGATTTTGTTAAAGAATTAACTATATTTTTATAAAAAAAATAACCAAAATTAAATATCGACAAAAATAATATGTTAAAACTTGTCAAAATGTGGTGCGGCCATAATTATTTCGACCACTGTAGGTACTAGCCAGCCTTGTATGCGCGAGGCTTCGTCACACGCTGAATGTGTACATATGTATGTAAGTATGTACATATACGCATTTGGAGAAAGCAAGTGCAAACCCTTTTCAAAAAATAAAGCCTTTTTGCACACTCATGGCCAAGCTTTTCACCGAACGGTGTGGATCTTATACTTTTTTTTTTAAACAGCTTATAGCAAATCTGGAGGCCAAGTCTTTTCTCATTTTTTAGTTCAACGAACAGCCTACATCTTATAATTTTTCGTACAGGTGGCAACCCTTTTCGAAAGAATTCAATGAACTGTACAAATCTGATGTCACTAACAATAAATACCTTCACGTATTAAAAAGGTGGCAACCCCACTAAAATAATAAAAGCTTATTGCACGTCCGGAGACCATATCCTTTCACTTGGTACCTCATTTTTTGTTCCACCAAACGGTGAAGATCTTATAAGTTTTTTTACGGTTGCAACCCTACTCAAAAACGAGCACATAACTCAACATCTAGAGGCCAAGCCCTTTGGTTTCACACCTCATTTTTCCTATTCCAACGAACATCCCGCAACGAACGGTGCGTATCATATAGGTTTTTAGACAGGTGGCAACCCTATAAAAATTCTAAATACCAATGGTCACACTCCTATCGACACAGCGTATCTTAAAGAAAATCTCGTCTTTCTCTCGTAAACGCTTCTTTTTTAAGCAATGACGACTTGTGACTTTATTTAAGTTCAAAGTTCAAACCCTTTGAAGGCAGAGGTTACGTTTGAGTGAGTCTCTTTTGTTTTTGTTGATTATTTATTACCGTCGACATCTCAACAAATAGTCATTTGCGAATCAAGCGTCGAGATGTAGCGCGACTTGTTTTGATTATGAATGACAGCAGCAAGCATAGGTTTGGATGAGTTATTTTGCCAAACCCACTGAAAAAACTTAAGCTGTCACTCACATTATCAGTGAGTGGATTGTATTAAGAGTGGCATGTGCAAAAAATGAAAACGAGGAGAGTGTTTAAAAATATACTTGCCAAGCGGCCGGTAAAAATAATATCAAACATATACAATATGACACATGATGAAATATTTTTAAACGCTTTTAAATTTGGTCTTATAGCTGTAATGTAAGTAGATATTATGTCCAGCCTGTTTTTATATTGATAGAAACCATGATTTTTTATTTTTGAAACAATAAAAACCAATAAACAAAATAAAATTAAATTTAACAAGTAATTTTTAAGTAAACAAAAAACCGACTTCAATTCACATATAAAAATTTAGGAGTACCGATAATTTTTTCAAGTTATGCGGTAACATACATAAAAACAAAAAACAAAAAAAAAATATTCCGACGAACTGATAAGCTCCTCCTTTTTTGGAAGTCGGTTAAAAAGAAAAAATAACAAAATGAAAATAAAGCAAAAATAAATGAAAATATTTTTAAAAGTTTAACGACGTTAATAAAAATATTTATTTTTCTTTTTATAACAATAAAATCTAAAAATTAAATTAGAAAAAGAGAAATAAAAACAGACAGAAAACAATAGTACTTAACAATAAAAAAGTATATTTTAAATTTTAAAGCTAAATCTAAATATTAAAAAATCTAATTAAAAAGGACAAAAAATAAGATTCCGAAAATTAAATGATATAAAAAAATATAGTTTTCTCCTTAAAACGAAAAAAAACTAGAGAAAAAAGTGATATCATCAAAAGAAATATAAATTAAATTAAAAAAAAAAAATACAATACAACCAGAAAATAAAATCGACATAAGTAAGATACATAAAAAATATTCCGACGAATTGATAGCCTCCCTCTTTTTCTGAAGTCGGTTAAAAATTAAATAAGTTTCTAAAAATTGAATGAAATTGACAAACAATAAAATCTATAAATTTAAAGAAAATGGAACTAAAAAAATAAAAAATAAAAAAACTAAAAAAAAAATATTTCTAAAAATTAAATGAAATTTACAAAAAATGTTCTTATTTTTAAAAGAATACCATCTAAAATTAAAAAAAAAATATTAAAAAAGAAAAAGAAAAGAATTAAAAAAAAACACATAAAATATGTTAAAAATATGGGGCCTTATTCATAAAAAAATAAAGTAGCTTTAAAAAATGTTTATATGTAAACTGAAAAATTTATGAAAACGTCATTTTGTAAAGCTCTTTAAACCTACTTTATTTTTTATGAATAAGGCCATAAATCTTTTTCTTTTTAAAAAATCTAAAATCTAAAAACTAAAAGGAAATTAGATTAAAAGAAAAAAAAAATGATAGGTGCTCAAAATTGCTTTTCTCCACGAGAGTATTTTTTCTAAGGCTATCGAGCTAAAGTAACAAAAGTGTTTCTGCCTTGCCATCCGTCTTTCATTTGTCTTACGAAATACTTTTTACTATCTTAGGCAGAATTGCACTTTAAGTTATAAATATGTAGTAGTATTTTTGAAGTATTTGAACTGAACTGAAAATAGGCAGTGCGCTTAAAAGTTAAAAGTAAGCAATTTATGCTTTGTAAAGTGGCATTCGATTAAACTTTTTTTTTCTTATAAGCCTGTTTTTTTTTTGCTATGGGATTTTTCTTTTTGCTCGGCACTTACATGCAACTTTGCATAATTCTCTTTAGCGAAAGGAAGAGTATTAATGCTTCATTAAGTGCAATCGCCTGCAAGTATGCAACGCCGTCCATAATCGCTACCTTGTATGGAGTGACATATATGTTATCTGCGCCAACCAAACCAAATGTGCCGTTGGCGAAATTGAACGCAGTGACAGTTACGTTCAGTGAAGCACTTGGTGTACATTGCAAATGTGTAGCTTAAGGTGAACCCCTTCTCATATAAAAAACCAAAAAATCTGTGTTAAATGTGAAGATGAAGAAATAAATGATAACGATTGAGACAAAAAAGGGAAGGCAAAATTGTAGATAAAACGAAAATGAAAACAATGAGAAATAATAAGACATAAGAATTACGGTAACTGAAAGGGTAAGAGAATTAATTGATTTTTTTTCGATAGCAACTGAAAAAATTGAGTTGTCGAAATTTATAGACATAGCAAATTATTTGTCGAATTTTACGGATAGTTATCGAGCTATAAAAATTTATGGGATTATCGAAATTTATCAAGCTATCGATATTTATTGCATTATCAATATGTATAGAGCTAACGAAATTTATTCAGTTTTCGTAATGCATATAGATCATTGAATTTATCAACTTATCGCTATTTATTGACTAACTAAAATTATGGGATTTATCGATAAAGTTTTTGGAATTTTAAAAATATTGAGAAATAAAATTAACCGAGTTGTCGAATTTTATAGAGGTATCTAAAGTTTAAAGAGTTAGAGAGAAAGTTAAAGAGTTTCGATTCATGTATGTATATCGATATATACATATGTATGTAAAAATTTTTGAGTTATCGAAATTTATCGAGCCCTCGGAACGCACAGCTATCGAAATTAGTCGTACTTATTATCGAATTTTGTTGAGTTATCGAATTGTAGTATTTCTGAAATTCTTTGAATTATGGATATGTATCAAATTATCGAAATTTATCGACGAACTGGAATATATCGGGTATTTTCCAAGTTCTGTTAAAGCTCTTCAAAGATATACAAAATTATAGGCACGGTTTAGCAAAGCAAGAGATTTTCCGGCAAGAAGTTTTGTTCCTTATAAGTTAAATGACGTGCTAAGTTAGAAAACCACTCTAAGGGTCTTAAAACCTAAAAAATAAGGTCGAATTTCCACAATAGCTGGCACTACCAGTTATTATTAAAGTGTGGGTTTGAATTGGTAAAACGTCGCGATGATATTTTGCCGTTTTTTTCGTGCAGTTTCTTTCATGCAAATTATGTTCGACAAGGTTTGTAATATTTTTTTCGATTCTGTAGACATACATACATATACATACCTACGCTTTGTCGACGATAACGTTTCTTTCGAGCTAGTCTTGCCCATCACTGGCCTAAAAATATGCAAAGCAAGTTGAGAGATTTTCGGCGATCACAGTTTAGCGCATTTTTAACTAATTTTAAACTGCTTTTTGCCTTAGCCCCTACCTCCTACGTTCATCACAAAACTTTAACTATTACTGTAGGTGCGCTAAAATAACGTACAAAAAAACGCCGAGACACGTAAACTTAATTTCGAGTCGTAGATTACACCGTGCGCCAGTAAATTTTACACACACAAAAAATGAATGCTTTCGCGAAAATATGGGTAAATTATAATAAAACTGCGTACTTAGTTTTTCTCTCTGACGTCAGGATTTTTTAAAAGGACTTTGAAAAAAAAAATATTACTATTTCAAAAAATTATTAAAAAAATTCAGTGCAATGTAGGATAACAATAAGGGTATCATATGAAAGAAAAAATTCTGTAGACTAAATTTTTTGTTGCATAAGGACGAACGGGTATGGAAAATGTCCTTTACATATTTTGTCCTTTAATATCCTGGACAATTTGCTAATTTTTTTTTTTTTTACGACTGTTTGACGACTAATTTAAGCTCGACCTCATCATCGAATTTCGTCCTGCAAACTTTATTAACTTAAAAAGATAATAACGGGTGAGTTTTTAAGAGCTTGATACCTTTTTTTTTAAAAAAAACGCATAAAATT